GGGACATAAAGTGCAGGAGGAGACGGGGGAGAGAGAGGGAGAGAGGGAGAGAGGGAGAGAGATAGGGAGAGGGAGAGAGAGGGAGAGAGGGAGAGAGAGATGGGGGGAAGAGAAAGCATCCTTCATGCTGCAGTCCCTTCTTCATCTCTTCTCCCTCTCAGGGGTTGGGCACCCATGAGTGAACGCCTGGCATGTTTTTTGGGCCGTGGGGTCAGGACTCTAGCTACGTGGTAGGCCATGTGGGATCCTACCCACGTAACCACTGGGCCCACAGTGCTGGGCATGCGATAGTTTTGCAAAGCCAGAGTATTGTGAAGGCAGCCCTTCCTGGTACATTTTACACTTACCAGCCATTTCCCACATGCCGTTGCTCCTGTTCTTCGGCTTTGGGAGTCGTTCTGGACTGTGTCTGCTGGGGCCTGCCAGTGGGGATGCTGGCCTTGGGAACCTGAAGGAAAACTCCCCTGGAGGTGGGAGGTGGCCCTAGGACTACTTCTTATTCTTTTTTGTTTGGTTTTGTTTGTTTATGGCTATAGGGTATGTGTGGTTGGGGGAGGAGTGAGAGGAAGTGAGAAATCAGCTTCCAGGGGAGATGGCCATGATGCAATCCATTCTCCTCCATTCTCTTCTTGGGATTTTGGGCATGCACTCACATGCACTCGGTATGTTTTCAAATTGCTGGGTCCAGGACTTGAACTGCAAAGTTGGCCATGTGGAATCCAGCCATCTCAACCACCATACCACTGGCTGGCCCAGGACCTCCTTTTCTGACCCTGATCATGCCTCCATGAGTCTTACATAGCTTCCCCTCCGGTGCCTCATTAGGCCCATGTTCTCTGCCTGTGGGAGCAGCTCTATTTTGCAAAAGGACCTATACATTTAACAGAGACACCACCACCAGTTGCCCTTCTGTGGTCACTGCAAAACAAATCACTTTTCTTTTGCTGTAGTAGCTGGTAAAAGATTGAGAAAGAAGGGAGGGGAGGGTTGAGATGAGTGGCCCAGTCTGGCAAAGTGTAGGCAGTGGTCAGGGCTGAGTGAGCAGTGGATGGGAAGCAGCTGGTTACGTGGTGGAGAGCTTTGCCATGAAGCTTCTTCAAGTAGGTAGAGAGAAGCCTTGGAAGAGGAGAAGGTCTAGACCAGGTCCTTCCCACAGAACACTCCCTCCGGCTGCTGTGTGGAAAGCGAATGGAGTGGGGCACGCCTGCAGGACAGGGGAAGGCAGGAGGGGTCCTAACTTTCCTACTGAGCCGAGACTGGGGAGGGGCAGGGGAAGATGGGGAAAATTCAAGGCCCATGGCTGAGTTGGAAAAGACAGGGCTGGGGACCAGTTACGAGGGGTGAAGTAGGGAAGAGGTGATGCTAGTGCCCAGCTTCTGACTGGGGCTGGCGAGATCACCCTCCAAGGCAGAGAGCCGAGAAGACACAGCTGGTCTCGAGACACTGCAGGCTTTGTGCTTTCTGAGATTAAGGTTCCTGTGACGTATCAGGCCATGGATGTCTGAGCGGCAGCTGGAAACCAGGCCCTGGGGCTTAGAGAAGACCAAACCAGATACAGAACACAGGGTTAATAGCTAAAGGCTTGGGAGTGAATGGAACTGTCCAGGGACAAGCTATGGGGGACTGAACCCTGGGAAACATCAGGGTCCCCGTGTGGCTGGAGGAAGGGCACTGTAGGTGGCTGGGCAGGCAGGAGTCACCTGCCGGGCTGGGTGGGCCCTTGAGAAAGTAGCTTCATGGGTGGAGGGGGTGACGGTTGGCTGCTGGGGTGGAGGGGTCAGTGGCGGTGGGAAGGACAAGGCACCTCCTCCCCGGAGAGGAGTGTGGGCAGGAAGGCAGCCAGTTTGGAGCTGCAGGGGGTGTAAGGGCAGGGCCCCAGGTGGTCCGCATTTTCTTGGCGTGGTAGAAGGTTCTCCCCGGTGGTGAGGGCCCAGGAAGGGTTGGGGTGGCACCTGCAGTCACGGGAAGAGGTACAGCTAGTGAGGAGTGTATGTCAGAGTGCGGATCAGGAGGGCTCAGAAGGCCGGAGAGCCCAAGCTGGGAGAGGCTGAGGAAGCCGAAGGTGGCTCTGTGGGGAAGCTGGCCGTGTGGAGGCAGACAGGGATTCAAATCCCAGCTTAGGGTTTGCTAGCTGGCTGCCGTCTACACCTTTGTAGGAAGGGTGGCAGTGTGCCCTCTGGTTGGTTCTGGGCGCCGTGGGAGATGAAATGTGTGCATGCGCAGTGTGTGGGCTGTCACAGCACTCAGCTTTGGATGGGTGTTACTGTCATTGCCCTAGGGAAGCCCGGCACTCAGGCCGGAGGAACAGGACCTCGGAAGGGGGCTGCCACAGAAACCTTGAACCTTGATACGAAATCGGGGCTCCTCGACCCAGGCCTCTTTCTCAGGCACAAAACCCTCCCAGGGTTTTGTCGAAGTGACAGGACTGCAGTGCCAGGCACTGGGAGAGGCTGAGGGACACGGAGCCCTGTAGCTCTGCCTCTGCCCGCAGTGCCTGGGCAGCACCCAGCACCACCTCCCTCGGGCCCCTGGGAACACGGGGCTCCTGCCAAGACCGTCACTGCTGTTGGGAGGCAGGCACAGGTCGACGAAGACAGGGAGTGCCTGGAAAACTATGTGGGTGGAGCCGCAGCACTGACTTGGCGTTAGGAGGCCAGCATAAACAAGAAGGCCTTGCTGCAGCTGGGGGCCAGGACTCTGCCTGCACGGGAAGGTGGAAGACACGCCCCGTGGAGACGGAGTCAGCACCCGGCTGGTCCCGTGCCGGTCTTTCCTTCTTCATGTGAAAAAGGTCACTCTGACTTTTCCCCAGGAATATGAAGCTCCTGATTTAAGGTTTGCCTGAGAAGGTCCCTCACTCTCCAGGGAAGACAGGCTGGGAGCAGAGGTTCTTAACCTCGAGGTCACGTTCAAGTTCCAGGGGAGCTTTAGAGCCACTCCTCTGAGCTCTTCCCCAGGAGCCCGACTTTCATGATCCATGTGTGTCCTGTTCATTAAGAATCTAAAATCCCCCCAGATTCTTTCTCTGTATAGCCAGGGTTGAGATCCACTGGTTACAGAGGCTAACTACTCCACATGGGGGAGACTAGAAATGCAGAAAGAGGTGAGTTCAAATTCTGGTCCCTGTCTGTGTACAACAGAAATAGTATTTTCTTCTGCAGCTTCCTGGATGAAATGAAATGAGATGGGGATGCAGGGTCCATAGGCCAGAGGTTCCTGTCCAGCACTATCAAAAAGTTCTCTGAACCGAAACTTCAGGGCCTTCTCTTTAATTCTATTCTATACAAGTACGGAGATCAGAGGACCCAATTTTAGTCATGTTTTTTTTTTACTTAAAAGTGGAGGAGTCAGACATCTCTTTTCCTTTTCCGTCTGGGTGTCTCTGAGGTAGTAAGTGCTGCTCTGTGGTCATATGAAGCCCCCGGACAGGGGTTTGGCACAGTCGGCCTTGGCTGCCCTCATCCTCCTGTCCCCTACGTGGGCTGCTCTCCAACACCCATCATGCTTCCCTGATGAGGCAGATGAAGGAGAAACGCTTTTCTCTCTGTTCTCAGGAACTGCCTTTCTTCTGAGTGTCCCCTGACTCCAGTGCAGGGGGAGTTAGTCCAGAACACACCCTGCTCCATTTCCTGAGCCGAGACCAACACTCAGGCCCTTCTGGTCCGGCAGTGTCTGGATCCGAGAGGCAAGTTCGGAACCCTCATGGGTAGTCAGGGAGTGCCCAGCGGGCCTTCAGTTCTTGGCTCTGTGTGGGAAAGTACCCACAGCGGCTGCTGGCTTCTCTGTTTGGAACCTGGCAATGTGAATGGCGGTGTTTGTGCACATGCTAGAGTAATTTCTAGAGATGATTACTGGAATTTGTAAAAAGGCCTCGAGTTGTCAACACCCCTTAGTCAGGATGTGGGATGAAGAACCCTAGGCCAGGAATAGAAAGCCCAGCCCACCTAAGGGTCGCTGATTTGCTGAAGTTTGGTCATCCGCAGCTGGTTCAGGCTGCTGAGCTCTGTGAGCTGCAGGGTCACACAGGCCCCGGCGCTGTGTTCGTTCCCAAGGGGTAGAGACTGGGCCCGATGGTGCTCGGGGTAGACTATGCTCAGGCGGGGGTTGGCAAGTGTTAGAGACACAGCATCATCCACTAAGGTGAGCCGAGGTGAGGAGCAGATTCTGCTGGAAAAGGGGGTGAAGGGAGCATGGATCGTGAAGTTTTAGGGGGAAAAGGATCGTGTTTACTTGAGAATTTGATCACTTTCCTGGACAGAGGATTTTATGACAGCTAAGGGGAAACAAAACCAAACTGTAGTTAAGCCTTTGTCATTTACTTTTTTCACTCATTCATCATTCAAAAAGCATTTACTGGGGTCAGATGGTGGCACAGTGAAAAAATGACCCTCTGTGAGCAATCCTGCATGGGAGGAAGGTTCCTGGTTCAAGTCTGGAGACCTCCTGAGGCCTGTTCTTTTCCACGATCCAGGCTGACTGAAGTCTGGGGTTGGAGTGGGGGTTACAACACCAGGGAAGCTGTCTCCCTCTCTCTTTCTCTCTCTTGCTCTGTCTCTCCTGCTTGTTGAAGAAATAAAAAAGCATTACTAACTATCTGCTGAGTATGGGTGTGTATTTGTGTATGTTTCCAAGTGCTGTGAAGCTACAATGGACCCCATCCCCTGGGGGGGTGACACAGTCCCCCTGATGTCATAGTCCCTGTGTCCCAGGACACCCCT